CTGGGGTCTGGGTTGCCAAAGAAGGGACAAGACCCAAATTATGGAAATAATCCAGAATCAAAAAAATAAATACATGGCCTGGCATGTTGGGAGACAGTCCTCATCTGCAAGATGGGCTTCCAAATGGACTCATAGGTGGTGGAGAAAGTGCGGACCTTTGCAATCTCATCTTCAGGCAGGGCACTGCCATCAGCCCACATCTTGTAGATCTCATACCATGCCTCCATGGTCATGTGGTTGATGTGCCGAGGCTGCAAGCCTCCAGCACCACTTGCCCCCAGAATGAAAAATAAATTGCATCTAAAGCATCTACACAAATATTATCACACAATGATACTATTACACAATAACTACTTGCTATTTGGTAGCTTTTCTTCTCGGTGTCGGTCTTGGATTTCACCCCCACCAGTTCAGTAGCAGCCACCACATTGTTGGGGGCCAAGCTAGCAGCATTGTGCACCTCCTCGCCACCAAGGAGAGACAAGGGCATCTCCGAAGGAACCTCACCTCAGAGGCATTGAGATCAATGGAGGAGGGGGGCAGAGAAGGGAATTATTAACAACAATGACAATGTTGAAAACTGATCTATTTGCAGCCCTAGTAGCCAGGTAGAAAGAGACCTGAAGTGCACAGGGCAGCTCCTTTCATCTCTTCCAGGGGCGGCGTCTCTGCAAGGGGTTCCGCCTTAGGGTTGGAGTCTGAGGCTTACATCCCAATGAGTAGGTATCACCCCTTTCAGGCATTCAATCCCATGAAAAAAATAATAGGTATCACCCCTTTCAGGCATTCAATCCCATGAAAAAAATAGGAAAGATAAAATCAATGCTGCTCTCACAGTCAAAGGCACCACATTCCAATAGTAGTATGTCATAAATGCATCCACCGATGTGGTCTTGCTAGGCTGCCGCCCATTGTATTTCCGCATGTCCGTGGGCAAGCAATTTGTTTCACGCGCCAGCACCAACCGCTTTACCTTGCCAAAAGTGAGCACACATTCCCACAGGCCTAAATGACCAGCAGCAACCTTTTAGAGTGTTACTGGTTACTGTTGACCAGTGACACACACTTCCAAAATACATTTTTTCAACAATGTCCCCAAAGACCTTTCTCCTTGCAAACCAGGAGCCCGCTTCTCATTGACTCCCAAAAGCACACAGAAGCCAGTCTCGCAGACAGGGTGGGAGCAGACCACAAAGTCCAGCACAGGCCCAGCTGCCTAGCCACTGACTGCAAAACTATATAAGGCTCACTGGGTTGAATGGACTTTGTTGAGTCGCAATCATCAATACACAACAGCACAAAAACTGCTTCGCACATAAGGTAAGGAACGGTGTCATGCTTGACATTCATCTTGCCCAGAAGGCCAAGCAAGAAGCGGTTCATGTCAGTGCGTGTGAGCTCCGCCAACTTCTTCCGGATGTTCTGGGTTGGTCACTTGACATATTGACCAGCTTAAGGACAAGCTTAACACTGACAAATCATAGTAATCATGTCAATGCATCCAACAAAATATTACTGTTGCATAAATGAGACACCTCCAAGCTTTGCACCCGTTCGATGTTGGAACGGAAAGTGTGGACACACTGCTTCTTGCAGCAGAGCGCAGGCTTCTCAGCCGGGCTCCTTGCTAGGGAGGGGCTAGGAAGATATCCCCAGAGTTGTGAAATATGGGGCAGTTCACCAACGGGTCTTGAACGCAAAACTAAACATCAATCATGATATACATCAGATGAGGAATTGAAAATCAACTCAATGATGCCCAGGCACACAAGATCAGCCAGCCGTTTCGCAGTCACTTCCCTGCGCATAGGGGTGGCCAACTCACCTGCTTGAAGTGCTTGATGGGTAATAGCCTGCAAGTCATGTGACACGGCGATGGTGGGCCCTTCATCATCAGAGGGCAGGTCCATCCCGACCAAGATGCAGCCCCTTGTTGCTCTAAGTCAAGCCAAAATGGCTGTTGAAAGCCGGCAGGTTGACAGATTGATTGATAAATTATAAGATTCAGGACCAGCTAGGGGGGTTTCAATGAAGGCGCTTGCACAGGCAAATCCATACTTCAATCGCTAAATGCCCACAGCAATTTGACAAACTGAGGTAACTTGATGTATGTAATTTGAAGCTAGGTTAGGGATCTATGGCCACCCTGAAATCCTAAAATTGCGGTTGTTGAGAACTGAGACTGTTGGTAGGACAACTCAAAGCCAATGCATTTCATCCCACACAATTGATATAACCAGACCCAACCCATCAACACTGCCCTCGGTGACAACCAGGCGACATTGCAGCCTCTAAACAATCATGGGGATGAACCAATTTCATAGTGGTTCGGTTCAACCTAAGGCAAGACAGCAAGACCACTTTTCACTCACCCATTGCATAGGACAAATGTACATGAGGATTCATAGAAGGAATTGGCCCTCCCACAAGAGTCCCTGCCTGCACTGGCAAGCCCCAGCAGCGCTTGCCTTAATGTTGGCATGGGTGGGTGGCCAAACAAAGGATCACATTGGATGCATGACGTGATGTACAACAAGGAAGCACATGCAACAAAAAGCAGGTCTTTGGAATTACTAATGAATTGCTGTTGGAAAGCATTGAATTGAATTGATTGCCTTCAGGGTTCACTTGCAGTTACCTAGCAATCATGTTGAATGGTTAGGTGCCCACCTCATTCTCCAACCCCATACCTGCCATGTGCACCAACCTCATTTTCCAATGTTCCAAGCAGTGTGATCTCAACCACTGTTCTGACCCTAACTGATTTTGGGGGGGTTCCTATCCCATATTGCACTTAATTGATCCATAATGCCAACAGCCTAGTGCCAGCAAGGTGCTCCAGTGGCACCGGCAGCGTGGCAGTGGCAGCTCCAGCGCCAGCAGCGCCAGCAGCGCCACCCCACCCACCCACCCCTCCACCCCGAATATGACCCCGCCACCTGAATCACTCGCAAAGTTTGCCAGCCAACGAGCTCCCCCCAATCACCCGCAAATCTACCCAAATCAATTGCTAAACTTTACCACGAGCAAAAGGGAGGTCGCCATGCACCAGCCAGTGTTGGTGGTAGTAACACGCCCAAACATCTAAGGGTTGATTCCTTGTCCATTCTTTTCAACCATCGTTCTTTCCAAAAGCCAGCTGTTTCCCCTGGGTTTTTGGTTTCCTGAAAAGATCCGGATCCATGGGTTCAGAATGGGGAAGGTACCCGTAGAAGTTTTGGCGGTAGCAAAACACCCAAGTTACAAGCATCGACCAGGCACCTCGGCAGGTCAGAGGATCGTTTTTAGAGCCCTGAAATTCGGGGGCGTGCGGAGTGGGAATGGCTTGGGCGAATGTGATGGAAGCTTCCAGGTCCCCCAGTGCCCTTTCTCACGTTTTTTTTTGATTGGGATGGTTTTTCTGCTAAAATCCGCTACAGAAAGAAGGGTACCCTTATTCTAACCTCTCTACTGGAGGAGGCTTTGTGGGGCCTGGTTCAGCCAGTGGGTCGGTTCATTTTCCTGTATGGCAGGGAAAACCCACCTAGATAGCCCCGTTGCTGCTTTTTTCAGTCACTGTTGCCAGTTTTCTGGGGTAACGTGCATGGAAAAAGACAGCAACTGGCGATCCAGGCAGGAGGAAAATGGTTTGTAACCTATGATGGGAACTGGGATCTGCCCGTGTCAGCCTGAAATGGGATTCCGCTCATGCTGAAATTACTTTTTTGTTTGTGCCCGGGCGTCCTGAAACAGACTTTTTTCACTTGTGTGACAGAGCTGAAACCACTCAGGAAGTGAGACATGGACCCCAAAAGCCGTGGTTTGTAGACTGGTGGTTGTTTTGGGGGAGCCCCTTTTCGGGTTCCATGTTAATTTGCGGAGTACTTTTCAGGTAGCATCTGGCCCAAGATACAGGACCACAGCTTTGCCCAAGCCTGAAACAGCACCCAGTGGCCCCTTCCACAGTACATCCATCACCAAGTGATGTGATCGACACGTGCCAGTGCATCGTGCACGAAAGGAAAGGGCCGATGCGCAGTGTTTGCGTTTACCTTCCGGATAGTAGTTTTTGTGAATTCAGACATGTGCGTAGACGCATCTCCAACATAGTGTCAACCCCGGATTTTTCCAGGAGACGCTACTCTTCAAAGCAATCCCATAGAATAGTTGTGTTCCTTTCAAAAATGAAACCAACGTATCTACGGCCCCCCGGGTGAGTCCGAAGCCAACATTCTTGCCCAAAGAATGCTAAATAGTCCCGTGAATGGACACTTCGTCCATTTGGCGCCACCTAAGATTGATTCGATTCCCCAACATAAGTACCAACAAACCAATGGCTTCAACCATGGCTTGATTTCGGTGGCGCGCTTTTCTTGATTTCGATTTCAACCATCCACAATACTTCCCCAGAATTAGTTCCCCTTTTTGTGTCTTTTTTTTGCTTTTTTGGAATTGGTCCCCTTTGTTTTTCCATTCACCAGGCAAAAAAGGTCTATTTGTTTGCTGGGGTCCCTTTTTTCCAGCCAAGAATACCACCTTCTGGTTTTTTTTCTCTCCCCCACATAAAAAGTCACCCCTTTCGTGGAACCGCCGGCGATAGAAAAGTCGGCTCCATCCCCACCCCCTTGAAAATGGGAATTGGGGGGGGGGGTGATTTCGACTGGAGATCTCCGTTGGTAGTTCCATTTCCCTTTAACAAAATATTTTTTGGGAGGTCAGTTTCGACCCCTGGAGACCCCTACGGCAACCCATCTTCCCTTTGATGTGGAAGACTGGACAAGTTGTTGCTGCTTTGTCTTAAGGGAGAGGCTTTCAATGGAAACCACCAAGAAGTTGATCAACCTTTGAAGGGACTCTTGAAATTCAATGCCCCCCTAATTTCAGGTAACCCTTTGCTGCTAGGTGCCTTCACGACGTTACTCTGACCCTGGGTCCTCCAACAGAAAAAATCGGGTACGCTTATTCTAACCTCTCAAATCTGGACCTAGGCTTCAGTCGCCTCGCGGTTCCGCGGTTCCTAGGCCTCGGAGAAGACGCGGCGGAGTTGGAGAAGCTGGGGCTCAGCGAATGCTTCCCGCCAGGCCGCGGAAAAGCGGGACCGACGAAGCATCCGTCGCTGGACGACCCTCTTTTTTTTGGTTCGCGACCAAGGGTCTCGGGGATGCCGTTTGTTTTGTTTGTTATGTAATCGTTGTTTTTTTTTTGTTTTTTCTCGTTGGGGTGTGTTTGTGTGTGAAGTTTGTTTTTTTCCCCTGAGGTTTGCTTGATCCAGTTTGGGTGTGTTTGTGTGTGTGCGTTGTAGTCTTGTGTTGGTTTGTCGTTTGGCGCTGGGATCCTTTTTGAGGGAACGTTTTTGGAAAGGGAAGCGTCCCCCTATCCATTTGGTGTGGGTCTTTAACCTTAAGCTTGCTTTGTTCTTTGCAAAATCGTGCTAACCAGCAAACAAGAATTCACTTGTTGTGCTTGGTCCCATAGCGTGACTCTTTGGTCGCCATTTGGAGTACTGGGCGTGTCTTAAGTTCGGGGGCAATTGAAATTGCCGGTTTCCTTTTGGGTTTGACCTCTGGATTCCGCTCGGGTTGGTTTGTTTGTGCAGTTCTTTGCGGAAACTTGATTCCTTTTGGCTCACCTATTTTGAGATGGTATGGTTGCCTGCGCCATTGAAAACTGTTGCGACGCACCTTTCAAAGATGACCACACTCCAGGGATGTAAAATTGGTTTTGTTCCTGTAGTAAGGAAGAACCGGGCAACAAGTTTAAGTTGTCCCCTCTGAGTATTGGAAGCGAGTGGTGGTTGATGAACGCTTGGTTTCATAGTGGACCTCAAACGCAGGTTCCTTGCCTGCGAGTTGCTTAAATCTTGAACTCACTTCCTGAGTTTTTGGACTTCAATTTTGTTGGGAACAACATGTTTTTTGTGGTAAATGAAAAGCTCGGTTTCTTTTGCCAATCCACTCGATCGGAAGTGGGAGACGGTTTCAGTGGCAACATTTGAGGAGTTTGGAGTTTGCCCCCAGGGTCGGCTCACAACTCTAGCGCCCTGGCAGGGTCCGATTCGTTTGATTTCCTGAATCCATATGTTTTAGCATCACCTTTTTGTCTAAGGGTGAAAGTACATACCCCTTGGCTTCTGTGGTTTCCAACCCACTTCATAAGGGGTATATACTTCTTTTGGGGAGAGGGGTATAAACATTAGCAGGCCTTTTGGGTTCATTTGTCCAAGGGGTATGTGAGAGGGGTGTACCAGCACCCCTGGATTTTGGCCATGCAAGGTGCGGTTTTCCTTTATCTTTGCTCTGTTGCTCCTTGTGCCCTCGGTCAAGGTGATTTTTTTCCCTTGGTCCGGTAGATGCCAACTCAACAATGCAAGTAAGCCAACTGCAAGCCATGGTTGAATTTACTTTGGGTTTCCTTTGGCCCTCACTTGCAACGTTTGGGGCATCCACTGCAGAGGTGATGCTTTAAGGTTGATCACGTCGGGCACCTGCGAGGCTCCCAGTGGGGAGCAATGGCGGAAGACTGCTGCCATTCCTCACATGGGCCGGGAGCCCCGCTGATCGAATTTTGGTCAAACCCTTTGGTTGTTTTGCTAGAAAAATAGATGGCCCCGGGTTTACCTGGTGGTTTAAACATCTACCAGGGCCATCTATTTCTCCTAAAAGGACACCTATTGTCAAACCCCTACAGGCGATCGCCGGTTGTTTCTGGGTCCTTTGGACAAGTGAGTTGGTCTAAGATGGTTTCCATTCCCCCAACACCACGACTTTTAGGGGGAACTGGGGCATATGCCCTTTTGACAGTGGCTACGTGGTTGTATATCCCATTAAACCCCTGTAGTGGAAAACATGTTGGATTTTGAGGCTTCCGGGCATTTTTCCAACAGTAGGTGAAGCAGGTGGGCTGGCGATACCACCTTGGCGCACCAGTGGTTGCTTGAAGGATACATCCAACAACCACTTGCTTCACAAAAAGATAGGCTTTGAAGTACATCAACTAGCAACTGTTTGTTCACTGATCCCAGTTGGTACCCCTGCTTTATGGTTCACCAGAATCTGACTATACAATTTTTGCGTGCCGACTTGGGCAAAACTGAGCTTAATTCCAACACACCCCTTGCGTTTTGTCAGGCCAGCCTTAGCTTTTGCTTCCATTGGCCACAACAACGGGGCCAGTTCTTTAAGAGATCGCCAAAACTTAGTTCAGTGGATCCCACCCTTCAAAACGCTTTTGATTCGTCAACCATGTTCCGGTTTTTTTTAGAGGGCCAATAGGCAACTGTGTTGAAGAAAGAACACAACACATGAACAGTACAAGAAGCATTTGTTTTTGGTGCCTCCTCATTTTCAGAAATATCCGTGTAACAAAAAAACTATACGGACCTTCAGCTCCAACTAGCCTTTTTCATTGCAGCTGATGTCGCTGGAGTGCGTGAGGCAACTCTGTGAGTGTCTCAACATCTCACTACGCTCAAACACCAATCCAAACCATCAATTGAGAGGACCTTGATTGTTGCGTACGTGTTTATTTGTTTGTTTTTGTTTGTTTGTTTGTTTGTTTGTTTGTTTGTTTTTTGCAGGGTGCCCTTTTTGGGGTTTAAAAGGAAGGACAAGCAAGATTTGTTGGGCTCCAATTCCCTGAGCACACTGCCATAGTGTGGATGGACGCAATCCTGCACCACCTGGGAAACCCATGTTTCTGATGATTCCCGCTTGCTGAATACCAACCAAACAACGGCTTCAAGCAGGGTTTCATTCCGGTGATGCGAAATGGATTTCGTCCACCAGTAGAAATGCCAAGCCCTAGACCCGAAACCTCAAACCCTGAGCCCTAAGCCTCAAACCCAAAGCCCTAAGCCTCAAACCCAAAGCCCCAAACCTAAAGCCCTAAACCCTAAGCCTTTTACCCTGAACCCTTCACCCTAAGCCCCAAACCTAAAGCCCCAAGCCCCAAACCCGAAGCCCTAAGCTCTGAACTCCTACCCTTTCGCTTTGAAAGGGTTGCTGCTGAGGCCTGGGGGGAATCCCACCTGCTGGGCTGCTTGGAAGCATTGCGTTTCCTTGGTCCTTCTTCGGCATCGCGTTGATGGATGGCCGGTCGTTTTTACCGGGCTTTGGGGGTTGTTGGAGGAAGTTTGGGGGGGTTATTGCCGGGGTTAGGGGAAATGGTTCTTGGCTGAGTTTCTGGGTTCATGTTGACTGAATGTCACTTTTTGGGTTGGGGTAAGCCAGTTGAAAGTGGCGACACAAAGCTTGGGAAGTGATGCTTGCTGGCTGGCTGGCTGGCTGGCTTGCTTTCTGGGTGTCTTTGCCAGGAGGCTTGGCTCCTTGGTTGGATGTTGTTCACTTTGTTCCCTGATGTTTTGCCTATGTTTTGAGATCACTTCGAGGGCAAAACGAGCTCAACGACTCGCAGCTCATTGCAATATGAACAGCCAATGTGTTGACTGGTCCAGTACGGCAACCAATGAGTGTCTCAAAGGCGACGGACAACGGGGACGGACAAAATGTCGTGGTAAACGGGAGGCGAAGCGCAATTTTAGAAAGACACACTTGCATTTTGTACATGTGTTGTACTCTGGTGATAAACAAGTAATTACTTGAATATGGGCAACTAGCCCGGCTCCTTGTTGGACTCACTGTCATTGATCTTGCTTTGCGAATGACCTGGGGAGCAACCGGTTTGCTACTTCGACCAGTCCAACCGCAAAGGGGCACCGGGGGGGGAGGGGGGGTGTTTAAACATTGTTCCGGGTACACCCTTGGTCTGCGCCCCTGAGACCCCTTTTTGAAACCAGGTATTTTTCCACCCACGTGTGACGAGCGTGACCGGCGCAGGGATGGCAGACAATGCAGCAAACCCTCAGTATAAGAGTTTGAACACCATCCTGAACGTGTGGTTCACAGGCTCTTGACCATGTCCGACAAGCATTTATGATACGTTCGGCCATAGCACGCGTGGCACGTTTAAAGCAGTTCCCAGCTGCACATTACATGGCGCATTTGACTTACTATGACTTGCTGGGCTAACGTCGGTAGCCAAAGCGAATCCAATAGGTCAACCTTACATTTTCAGGTGGAAGGCATGTTTAAAGCCGTAGACGGTTTGATTGTCGTCCATTCACTTATATTTCGGTCTATGCCAATCAACCCTGCTCTTCAAAGTGCAACCAAGGCGGGCTTTCGATGGGTTTCCTTGTTTGTTCCTATCTTGTGGAGACCCCAGATCCCAAAATTGTTTTCTGGGCCCCGGTATCCACGCACTCTCATGTTGAATCAAGTTCTCGGCCGGTTAACAACCGGATCTGACCTTTTGGTTTCCCGCTGCTGGGTCTTTTTGGAAAGCATTTTTAGTCATAGCCCCAAAAGGTTAACTTGTTAAATCCTGGGTTCAAAAGAACTCGGTGAAGCTTCAGGCTTGCACATTGTAGAATGACATGGCCAAGGAGAATGCATTCGCAAGGGGTCATGACATGGAACCAAGTCCGAAGGTAACTTTATTTTTTCCCGGACTGAACGGAGTGGGCTCAGAGAGACTGGGGAATCAACCGTCTCCACAAAACGGTTTGGATTTCACCTGTTCTTCCCCGGCCTTTTTTTGTATTATTTTAGTACCCTTTGATATTCTACAGGGGGGGATCCACAAAAAACGCCAGACATCCAAGCCTATATTCCCGAAACACCTGGTGATAGTAAATCCCGGCTAAACCGTCATTAGCACAAGATGCGCCACATCCAGACCGTTATTCTCAGATGCCGGGCGATACCGGCACTCCAAGGACGGGCACTACACCTTTGAGCGGTGTTGCCCTCAAACGGCCCTGTCCCCAGCTAACAATCGATCACCAGAGCGGCTTGGCGATGATACTTCTCCGTTTGCTGACATGAACATGTTGTTGTTTCCCCTTGTTGGTTTTAAGGGGGAATCTTTCACTACTAGAAGTATGTGTTTGTTGTTTCCCCTTCTTTTTGGGCTTAAGACAATGGAAGTTGAGGGAAGAAAGGGCGAACCCTGGACAAATCACTTGCAGTCACTGGAGGGGCCTTTTTCTGTCTTTTGTTTTGTTTGATTTTGTTTGAGGGCGGGGGTCTGGTATCCTTTGAGGTGGCAAGGTCCCCAATGTTAATCGCACTGCCCGACAAACTGTGGTCGATTTTCTTGGATTGTGAGCACTGCTAAGAGAAGAATTCCACTCGCCAATGCCCTTCTGCATTGTTGTCCGTGGTTCCTGGAAAAGGAAGCTTTGCAGAAACGGAGCCTCAGGAGCCCGCAAAAAGAAGCCGACGAAGCTTTGCACATGTGATTAACACATGCATGGTTTCTGGGTGTACTGTGTTTTCATTGTATTCTACTGGATGGAGACGGTCTTGCTGTCCTGGGATATTTTGCAAACTGAAAATGGCACTTGTTGGACAGGTGGAACCCACCGCTCATGACATTGGTTCCTGTTTCAAGGGCACGGTTGATCCTGTAGATTGAACGTTGCTTGGAGTATTTTGCGGACGAATTGGCTGCGCCCTTTTGATTAGGGGGTTGATCAAAAGGTCCTTTCCATGGGATGGCCATGAGAAAGACCACTGAAAAGATGATGTGTCCCACTAAATTGGAAAAGTTACCTATGTTCATTTGGGGGCCCAAGGGAATATTGATCACCCCCCTTTCGAATACTCCCTAGGATGAAGCTGATGGCAAGGCAAACGCCGCGCCCTTTGAGCATCCTTTTTATTCGTGCAGGATAGTGCAGTCAAGTTGGAACGGGTGATGCATATTTGGCTGGCTTTTACAGGTTGGGGGCGGACATTGTATTGCACTATACAATGGGCAAGCCAAGCGAAGTTTGGAAGGAACTTCCACAACAAATTCAGGTTAGAACAAAAGGCATGCAGGGCCGACAAGGGCACCAATTGATTGTGTGGGGCTGAGATGGGCTGAGTATCCCCTTTCCTGCAGCTCTGCCGGCTTTACTCGTATACGCCCGGATGGCATGGGAGAGGTGCTTTCGATCCATTTTGCACGCGCTCCACGCAATGTCGGTATGAGAGACCCGTCCGGATTGGGCACGCTGCTGGAAACTCGATATATATATATATATTATACTTCGCGGAGGAGGTTTTGAGGCGCAGGGAAAGGTTTTGGCCAAGCCTGCCTGGCATGAAGGCGGCACCTGTTGCGAGCAACAGCGTCAACAACCAAGCCTTTGCGTGCCAAGTGGCAACAGATTCGTGGGCAAGCGCAAGGGATGGCAAGCAACACTTTCCCATTCTCCATTTCTGTCCCTTCAAGAGCGGCAGCGCAGCGCTTGTTGCCAGGGTTGTTTCTACGCAATTTCCAACTTACATTGATTGATCGGTCTAGGCCCCGAACTCTGCCCTCAGCGCTGCTGCTGCTGTGACTGCAGCGCCGCAGTGCGCCCGGGTGCAGTGGGTGGGCAGCTTGAAAGGAGCGCGCAGCATAGCAAACAGCCCGCGAGGCATGCGAGGATGTTGTTTGCAAGGTGCCCTGATCAAACGCGGCTCAGTGGAGCAGCGCGCAAAATGGGCACAAACAAATGTTGCTGAGCAGTCTTGTGAGTTTCAAGTTTGCAGATTGTTCAAACCCTTACTTCCGCCTTTTTCTTATCACTGGCCGCATGTTGTGGCAAGCGCAACGGGCAATTTTCTAGAATCGCAGGTCGCCATAGTGGAAATCCAAAGTGTTCGAAGAAGACAGGTGAGATTTTCACGCCTGCCATGTTTGACTTGGAGGGGGCCTACTGGAGACTTATAGTCATGGCTTAAGTGGGAGTTATTACCCATGCCATAGTTATTGCCCCGTAGTAAGTTATACCTTAGTTATTACCCATACCATAGTTTTACCTTAGGATTTTTTACCATACTTAGTAAGTACCCGATCGCCCCCTTTCAGTATCACGCCAGGCTGCTTTGCAGCGGCGAGCGGCTTCAAGGCGGCGCCCGCTTTGTAAGGCCAAGCTGAGCATGTCGCGACATGTCCGAGCCGTTCCACGAGTCTGTTGCTGGGAATGGGCCGGCTCAGCGTTTATAAAGCTGCTTCCTTCCATGACCTACTTTCAAGCCCCTGGAATTCAAACGTTTTGGGAGACCGTTTTAGTGGCAAGCAAAAAGTTTGGATCATCCACTCAGGAACTTCACAAAGGCTGTCTTCAACCAGGGCTTAGGAGCGAGCTGCTTGCGAGTTTCAGCGCCTGGCTGCCCGGGCCCCCGTCATTAGCACGCCCTTTTTATTTGGTGCCAACTCTTTGGTCGATTTTGTGGTCACGACACCCAGAGGATAGCCTTAGTCCAGATGAAATCATGCAGAAAGACCGGCTCATTGTTTTTAGTCAAAGGTTCCAGCAGGGAGCCAACCTGTTGACCTTTCGGTTCCAACAGGTTAGCCTTCAACTCTTGTGGGTCCTGGCAACTGCCAAGCTGATGTTTTGTTCACATTGGTGTTTGAATTGGCGGCCCCAGGGTTGGCAGGCTGCATGGCACAGCTTTAGGTGAAAAAACATGTCTCGTACACGGAAGAAGCCCCACTTGCACCCATGGAACCATGGAATTTTGATGGAGTTCCATTCCAAGGCGAGGACGGTTCGTGAAACGCAGGTGCCAAGTGTTTTCTGAGGTGCTTTCTGGGAGAAACGTGGCCAGCCAGCCAATCAGCCAGGCAACATAATCAAGAAACATTTAGGGAAGAAGGGTTAACCCTGCACAAACCACTTGCAGCCACTGGAGGGGTGGAGTTGCTGTTTTTTGTTTTTTGTGTGTTTCTTCATTTTATTCATTTATGTATTTTCTCGGGGGGGGGGGGGTTGTCCCACAACCAAAGTGTGCTCTCCAGCTGCCCTGATTTGTGCTGGGTAAGCCGTCGGGAGGCAAGCTGGTTTCGGCCCGGTTGCCTAGTGCGATGATCTCAGCCTTATTTGGTTTGCTCCAGGGCCTACTTGATAGTACATGGGGATATATGGGGATTTATGTTTAACCCACTAAACGTGAAACTTTTAGCGTGGGATCTGAGGACAGCCCAGCATCTTGAGCCTGCCTGCCCAGCAGTACTATTTCTAGATCCTTCTTTGTCATTGTGGCAACCATGTTCCTGAAGGTGTTGGCAACCTTCCGGGACGCAAGACACGCCACAGCGTCTCTCAAACCGCGCTTGGGGCATGTTGTAGGCCAGGGCTGCTGTAAGGAGGCATTTCCTGTCTCCAGCGTGGGCAAATTCCATGATACGGTTGCATCCACAAGCCCGTTGGGGACGGCCTGGGGGAATCCCGACGGCGTTCTCCAAAGCTGCTGGAAGACACTCCGAAGCACATAAATTTTCCAGTGACAGGTTTTAATCCAACTTTTCAGTCTGTTTTTAGACGAACCTTCAGAATGTGTTAGACATGCGTTTTTCGTTGCTTTGGTTGCTTTCAATAGGGAGGTCAAAGAAAAACAACCTTCCCACGCTAACATGGAACCTGTAAGAGGGTACCTGTAAGAGCAGTCCCTGTCGGGTGCAATATTAACATGCTAGTGGGAGACAGGGTAACCATTCGGGTGCTTTGAGGTGATGGGCGGAGGTTCGGGACAGGTATGTTACAGAGCGAGGTATATCGCTTCCGCGGCTGTTGGTTGTAGATGTGCAAAGTACGCATAGGTACTACCTGGAACCTGTAATATTTTAATTTACACATGGCTGTTTCAGCCAAACAGCCGTAATCATTTTTCATCAAGAAGATCTATTTGCAGGAACTGGTTGTTTGGCAAACCGCTTGTAAATGGTTCCAAGTTCCATGTTCTGTGCATACCAATCGCGAATGAATGATCGAATCTATGAAAGCTTTATGGAGTTACGAGGGCTGCTACGGTGGATGCCCTACACATTGCCACCAACCATGGTTGAATTTACGTTGGGCTTCATTTGTTCGCTACGTGCAATACTGAGTTGGCATCCACCCTAGCGGATACCTTGCCCTTTTGGCTTGGCTTGTTTGGTTCCTCGCGCTCCATCCCTCAGACGCTCAGACGGCGAGCGGCTGTGGCACCCTTCCACCTCCTTCGCGCTGGCCTCAGCTCTCCTCCAAAAACTTGCGATCGGTACACAAAATGCAAGGAATGAGAAATGGGTCTCACCCCGACATAAGCCAGTTTGGGTGAAACCCTATGAATCGGTGGTGCATTTTGCCAAGGGATGTTAGGACTTTAACTTGTTGCCAAGTAATGGGTTTTCCGTATTCAACCACTAAAACTTAAAAACTTTTAGCCGGGGAGCAGCAAGGCGGAAATCCGACATAAACCAGTTTGGATGACACTTTATCTGGGATGGGTCAAATGTTTCTGCGAGCCGAGCCGAGGAGGCGAGCTTCGACTTTGCCTCCAAGGCGCGAAAAGCGAGGGCTGGCTCGAAAAGCCGCTGGCGCGTGATTCGGGTGATTCGATTTGGAGGAACTCCCTGGCATAGGCTTACTTGCCCAAAGCGAAGCGACCTTTTGACCTTGTAGTTTTCCAGGTTTGGTGTATTAGTCATGGCCCCAAAAGGCTAACCTTCTATGTTCAGGTCACTTTGGGCAAGTGAGTAGGTGTCCTTCTGATCGGTTTTGGTGAGAAACAGATCTGGTTCCACAGGTGTCGATGGGTTCGGGGGTCCTCTAAAACGATTGGCTCCCTTGACGTTTGCCCTTCAACTGCCAACCAAAATGCTCAGCTGCCACCAAAGCGCCACGCTTTTCTTTTTACCTCTTTTTTTTTTGCTCCCAAAAACTTGTACCATGCTCAGCCATGGCAGGTGGTCGAATTTTTTGCCGGATCCTTGGGGCAGCTGAGGTATATATCTTTCCTTTAGACTACCAACCAAGTGTGGCCGGCCCATTTCGGGAGGCTCGGAGCCTGCCGCCCTTTCCATTTGCTGGAGTGAGTTGTGGATTGGCCAGTCGTTCCATTTTGAACGGCGCCGTGCAGTTCAAATTGGGAGTTTTGTAGTTGGAGTCTCGTGGTGTTGGGTGCCCATTTTGCCGTACAAATCAACTGCTGGCAGGGGATTAGAAGGAGGACAGCCTAGTTATTGCATTTTGCCAAGGGATGCTGGGACTTCAACTTGTTGCCGACTCACGGGTTTTTCCGTATTAAACCACTAAGAGTCAAATACTTGTAGCAGGGCTTCGCAGAAAGCAACCGAGTAGCTTGTTTTCCCCAGAATTAGTTCCCCTTTTCATTTTTCGCTTTTTTGGGGTCCCAATGGTTTTCCAATTGCCAGGCAATAAATATATTTTTTGCTGGGGTCCTAGTTCCAGCCCTTAGCTTTTCAGCCTTTTAGTGTTTAGTGCTTGGTTTTCCATTTAGCCACTAAAAGTTAGTCACTTTTAGCAGGGGATCTGAAAACGGACAGCTGAGTTTGGTATCTTTGTTTGTACTCGCGGGTTTCAATGCAAGCCATGGCTCGCGGCGTTTCCTTCGCGAGGTTGTGATGGGAGCGGTGCGCTTGATTGAATCAGCCCCGGGCCCACTCAGCAACCGGTGTTTCCATTTGCTGAGCTGAAAGTTTGATACTTTCCCTGGTTGGTGTTAAATGGAGTCGATGCGCCATTTGCTGAAATGAAAGCTTGTTATTTTCCCTGGTTGGTGTTAAAGGGAATTTCGTAAATACTACTGGAAATACGCTTTATTTTTTTCCCAGGGGACTTCAGCAAATGGAAATGTGGACCAGGAATAGCACAAGGTAGAGGCTGCAAAGCAGTTGGTGATACCCGGCGTTTGGTTTGCTTGCAGTTGGTTGTGACCAGCTAGAAACGGATCGTCGTGTGAAACCATAGGTTCTATTTGTTCAACAGCCTGGCAACTGAAGCAATCAACGGGCCCACCATCAAACTTCGGGTACTGCGGATGAATGCGAAGCTGACATTACTGAAAATGCGCTATTCAGATGCAACCTTTAACTTTGCCCACTAGGCCGAGCAGGGCGCATTCCTGCTGATTGCCAGGAGCTCAAGTTGTGGGGGTGCCGGGCACATTTCAGTGATCCGCATCACTGAACAAAATGATGCCCCCCCATCTCTCCAAATCAACCAGGGGTTCATTTATCTGAAGTTAACACTAGTTTGTCACTTTGCCCTTTGAAGCCATGTGCTAGGTGTTCCATCCATGAGATGGACCCATGGACGCCATGGGTTCGACCAGGTCCTGGGGTCGCAGAGTTGGGACACGCACTTCGTTCCTTCGTACAGTCGTACGTGAAAGCCTTCGTGTGCCTTTGTTTTTGTTGGAGTTGGTACCCGTTTTTCTTTTGTTTTTTGGCTTTTGGAGGGCGAAATCTTCAGGAACCAGACCAAACAGTTGGATGTCGTTCAAGGGGAATTCCGATTTTGGTAGGAAGCCACAGGGAGAGCCACCCCTTCAGTGTCGAAAAAGGGGGTTGTCACCTCATTTTCTTGTTTTCTATCTAGTTTGCCCTGCAACCAGCCCCAACCAAGGGAAATGTCGAGCCCATATTTTTCTCCACCTCAGCTAAATCGGGCTAAATCGGGGTGCTTCTTGGGTGAAACCCGAGGCAGAAGTGCCGGTCTGTGGTGGCCAGGGGCTCAGGACTTTGGATCTTTTTGCATCTTGGTTTGGACTCTCCGGGCCAAACGGGTGTCCTTTGACCCGGAAAAAATGCTTCCAGCTGGGGGGAAGCAGCTTCCAGCACATGAATATGAAATCACGGTTGTTGGGAAACATTTTTTTTTTACACTTTTGCTTATTGTGGTTTAGTGGTTGGAATCCAACCACTGAACTGCAAAAAATGTAATTGTTGCTCCCTTTCCAACGTCAACCAAGGTTTGGTTTGGACTCCGGGCAAAACGGGTGTCCTTTGTGAACAAAGTAGTTGGTGGAAAACGGGCCAAACAGGTGTCTAAACAAATTAGTTTAGTAGAAAAAAAACAGTTAGTTTAGAGGAATTTTGTCCATGGGTTTGAAGAAATGTTGGCCCACCTGTGGAAGTGAGAACATGTTGATTCAGGGAAATTGCGGCACATACCGCGACCTTTGCTGACAAGCTTGATGTTTTCAGGAAAACCGGTGCCCATTGGAAGGACGGGCATGCGTTTTGCATGGGACTTTTCCGTTTGTGATTGTTATGGCCTCTTCCTGGGCATTTTTCTTCTTCACAGGCATGCCGCTTCGAGCGGATTCCAACCCGACATGTTCGTGTCCACTACCAACGCTTTTTGGTTCATCAGCTCTGTTCGCTCGATTGTTGTTTTTGGGTCGGCTTATATTTGTTGAGTCCTTTTTGGTTTGGTTACATTTGTTGGCTGTTGTTTTCAGATGGCCACCTCCCCTTCCCTCCTTTTTGGTTTGGCTGCATTTGTTAGTTCTCGTTTTCCGAAGTTTGGCCTACCTACCAAGAAGTCAGGTCAGTCAACAGATCCAGTGGGACTGCCGGTTTTGGACCTTTCCGGGGCCCGGTTTTGTTTTGTAGAACCGGGTGACAAAAAAAGCCCTGCCTACCAATAGCGGGGTGGGGTCCCCTCCCTCAAAGTGGTCTGAGCCCCCACTGAAACCAGGGACGCCCCAATATTCATAGGGGGTAGTTATGAATCCTGAGTTAACTTCACTGTCCTTGGCAAGTTTGATTTTTTGAGGTTGTGGTTCCGTCCATTTTTAGAGGGTGGCTGCAGAAAAGCGTGTTTTGCTACCATACCAAGGGGTGTGAAGTGTTGTGAACTTAACATTATTACCAAGAAAGGGCGTGTGTCGCTGCCTTCTTTCACATGCGTTCAACCATTGAGTCAACCCGGCCAACTGATCAAAGTACCTTCTGAAAATGTATTTAAGAGGTCAACATCCTTTCAGAGGGGTCGGGTGGGGTAGAACCCTTTTCTTTCCTGATTTGCCTATAAAACTTGAACAGGGAACCTCCTTGACTTAAAGTAAAGGACATGCATGTCCACCGAATTCTGATGTCCGAGGGGACGGGAAGCCAAAGAAGGTTGATTGCTTCAACAGTTTCGTGGCTTGACTTTAACCTGTTTGGGCTGAACATGTGTTTCTCCACTTGTCAGCACAGCCATCAAGGAACATGTGGCCATGGGTCAAAATCCCATACCCCCAGTGAACATCCGATTCCATCCCCACTAACATAAGTTCTAAAATGGGCGGTGCATTCACCTAGCCACAACTGGGATCCCAAGACGGTTTTGACAACCACAGCCATGTAACAAAATCACCCCACACGTGAAAAATCTCCCGCGAGCCGGCTGGCCGGACCCAGTCGCCCGAGGTCCGAGCATTTTCCAGGACGGGTCCGAATCACGTGGAAGGGACGGGGCGGTGAGACGGACAAGTCCTTTGAGCTGGGATATTCTTCCATTGGCTTAAGAATATGTGTTGAAAAAGCAAAAACACACATTGATGTTACAGGGAACCTATCACTACTGGATGTTATTTTCTTCTTTTTTTAAGAACAATCTATTGTTTGTTTCAAACACATCCATTTGCTGAAATGAATATGTTTTATTTACCCCTGTTGGTTCTAAAGGGACTCTATCACTACTGGAAATGTTTCTATTTGTTCCAGGGGTCTTAAGCAAATGGAAGTATTGGTTGGCTTGTTCCTGCGTTGCAGAAAATTTCATGTTATGTCACGCCGTTTGACAGACTATGTGTTTTGGCTCAAGTAAAAGTCCGCTCCGCAGCGGACCTAGAGCTGAATAAGTTACTTTTCACGGTTGGCATGGCTTGAAAGATTCACGTTTCAGAATAAATGTCTGTGATTTTCCGCCATTGCCATGGATTGAAAGAGAATCTCTTGCTACTGCAAGAAAGAAAGAAATTGAATCTAATTCTATGGCATGTTCCAGGGGACACAGGCAACGAAAATGCGTGTCATTTTTCTTGTTTGTGGTTGTGGGCTTTGTCTTGGGCAGGGTTTCCCATTGCGAAGTGGGTTGGCCAAAGCACGTGCAACTGGATGTTTAACATAATTTTTCCAGGGGACTCGAGAAGCTTCACTATATGAGTAAACCCTGTTTGCGCTACAAGGTTTTTCTCACAGACACATGGGTATGGCTCAAAAGTAAAGAGCTGGGTTACGCGGGTTTTAGTCTTTGGATCCACTTACCAGGGTGCCATGTTGGTACCACTTTTTTGAGCCACAGACATCTTTGAGGGTTCCCATTTTGAGAAACATACATATTGATATGAACCACATTCCAACTCTGGTTTGGAGGACAACTGCTGAGTTAATAGAGAGAGAAGCACGCTATACACTAGCCATTGTAAATTGAAGCGCGGATGGTATCATAGCCCGGCGCAGTCTTTCCATCAGTTATGCCTTCCCTTGCTACGGCCCTGAATCAATCCTGACAAAATGGTTGTCCTTTTGCTTTCCTTAAATCCACCCCACAAATTGTAGCGTCCGTTAATGTTTTGCGCTAGATGCTTAAGCCTGTATTTGGAACCTCCAACAGTGGCGATCGTTTCAATGGAGACCACCCATGAATTGCGACTTACGCGAGGGGAATCCAGTGACCCTGTTGGAGGCTTGGCCTTCGAGCTCCTGACGTTTGTCAGGAGGCTTTTTCAATCCTGGAGCCCATTGAGCTTGGCCCCTCAGTCGGGGGAATTGAATTGGAGGTTATGAAGGGCATCGTTGTCCGGGCGGAACCCTTTTTCTTACCTCTTAAAAACACAACTTTTCAACTTTTTTCGGTAACATGGTTTATATGTCTGTAAAAGATTAACTTCCCCAGGGCTTGGAGTTTTAAGGGGTAAGTTTTACCTTTGGACACACCCTTTTGGACATGAAACAATGCCCCAAATGAGCGTACGTGGCGCTTCAGAAGTTGTGAATCTTTCCAGTCGTTCAGGGATTCCACAGTGCACAACCGGGCAGTGGCTATGAGGTTTCCCTGAGGCGTGAAGCCCCCTAATGAGCCGTTTTTGACAATTGGATTTGTTTTGTGTTGCGAAACAAAGGTTCAGGGATGTTGGGAATCCATAGGCGGAAAATCCACCTTGGAGGAAGACCCAAATTCCAAAGCTGGAGGTATTGTTTGAGGTTCATTTCAATATCATGTTGGAGACGGCTTCCCTTTCGGGCTTCGTTTGCTTGGTGTCACGTGCCGAAAATGTGTGCCTTGTGGCTCTGCTTGCCAAGGGCGAACAGTGAGCTGGCTATGTGCAACTTTGAAAACCTCCCCAGTGGACAGAAGCCAAACGCTGGCGGTTTTGAAGGACGAGCACGTATTCTCGTTCTCTGCGGGATTGACGCGAGGACGCAGTTTGAAGATGAAGTCGTCTTCAGGATGCAGCCAACGTGTGTTTTAGCACAGCGAAGCGAACGGATTGGACCGTTTGGCTTTCCCATTCTGGATTCCAATTTTTAGTCATGGCCAACCCCCAAAATAACAGTTTGTTTCTAGGTCAGTTGGTCAACTCGGCGCAGCTACAGGACCACCTGCTGTGGGCCCTGGGTTGATGAGCGCTTCGACAAGAAATGACCAAAACATACATGTGGGTTACTGGTCCCTTTAAAGTGACAAATGTAGTCAGGGTTGAACCATGTTGGCATCACCCCCCAGTCCAAAGGCTCGCTGGTGCCCAGGGAATTTGTAGGGTTTTGGGAATGAACCTGTCCCCCGAAAGGAAATCAGTCATTCCCCTTTGAAAATCCAACTACCAAATCAAGGGGAGTCGACGTGAAAGGACTTGGGCGTCGTTGACTCGTGGGCAGAACCTGCAACAAGGCGCAACTACATGAAACAACACAGGTGCCTTTGTCCTTGTTCCACCCTTGTCTCCGTTTTTGGGAGGGGAAAATCCCTTAAAGCAACCACATATCAACCGTCAACCGCCTTTTTCCCCATGGCTGTTGGGTGTTGGCATGTCTGCGAGGCAGCACCACGCCAGCATCTTGCAGGATCTTCATGAGGCGGCTTTGGGTAGCGAGGAAGATTCGCAAAATGGCACTGGAGGGACCCTCCCACTCGCTCACTCCTCTCCTGAAGGTGAGGACATTCTTTTGTATCCTTGTCCTCTGCCTTACCGTCCCAACCATTTTCCTGGCGGGTTCCACGTTCATGGACCACAGGCTACCCCAGTCTCAGTTGAGCCCTCCGTTTGATGGGGGCCCAATAGGTTGGCTCGGGAAACCAGTCGGTGGTTTGGAGCGGTTTGAACCCCAGGGTAAATGGGAAGCCACCTCCTAACTTCCAACAAAAAAACCGCCGGGCTCAACACCACCAAGGAAAAAGCCGACCGGGCTGGTGAATTCGGCTGCAAGTCTGCGCGGTGTTGATTTCCTTGGATGCCACCCTTTGTCCCCCCATCGCAGGCGATGATGCGTTTGTCCAAGCGCCCGCGCCTGAGGTAAAACTCAGAGCTGAATCCATATCCACACCTTTTACACACCCCCGAAAACGCACTCTCAAAAAGACGACCCAAAATATTCGGTGAACCCATCCGTTTCAACTGCCTTTTGACCATACGCTGCAGACTTTTAGCCAATTTATTCGGTTGGGGCTGTTCCCAGTTAATTACTGCAACCCCACACCATGTCCCAAGACTTCAAAGACCTTCCAACTAGGTGAGCCGCAGAATGGACGAGTCCATTTCGCACCGATCTTCCGAGTCGGGAGGCCCTGGGGCTGAGGGTTCTTATTCTGGGGGGCAGGGCTCCACATGTTTTTGCCTGGACGAAGAAAGCCTGGAATGATGCAAATGCCAACAACCCACTAGTTGTTTCTCATGATTTCATCCACAACATTTGGGGTTAAGCCTAAGCACAAATTGCTCGGGGGCCGGTCAATGGTCACGACCATTGCTGTCTCAGGTTTGATCTTTGGCCGGACCGCTCAGGCCGAGATCTGCAGTATTCCGCGCAGCCTGTGTGGGGAGCCCCAGATGAGCTACTGATGAAACCCAGAAAATGGGGGTCACACAAAGGGACTAAACGCGGTATTTGTTTGTTTTCACCCAAAGGGACTAAGCACGGTGTTTGTTTGTTTGTTTGTTTTCATGTCAGTCCAATGGTCTGCGGATAGAAAGTAAAGATAAACACTGTTTGCAGGCATCTAGCAGTTCCATCCTTGCAAGCCGCAACCGAGGGCTTGTTGGGAAATAGGGGAGCCCAACAAATTGTCATTTGACTGGGGAGTTCTCTTCAATGGTCCCATCAAAAAAACAACGACTGAAACAAGACACGTAGGGCGTCAACCTGAGGACCTACTTGCCTTTCTTCCCCTACTTGCTCATGGCGCTCCACCGGCGTGCGGGCCTAAGGGCCTAGACGTATGCTGTTGTAGACGTCGTTGACCTGACGTACATTAATAAAGAGACTGCCCCTTCAAGTAATATGCTGGGCATCCAGGCGCGAACATAGAGATGCCGTCGTTGTGTGCGGGTAAGTTTTTGGAGTGGTTCTAAAGGGAAACCAACAGGAAACCAACTGCTTGTTGAGGTGTCGAATTGAAAGACACACCCGTATGGACCTGCGACCCTAAGAGTGAGGCACTCGGAAGCTCCTGAAAGGGCGTAGACGTTTGTCAGCTTCCCGCGTAAGTTATGAGCCCGCACTAAAAGAAGACACCCCCGAGCAAAATCAATCAATCCATCTCCCCCTAAGTTGCGTTGATTTCAGGAAGCCCTTAGTCAGGCTTTGGTGGAGGGTTAGTAGCCTCTAAGGGGGAAGATATTTGGATTAGTGGTTTCAAGGCTCGGGGTGGCTTTCCATTACCCGCAACAAGAACCAGGGGCTCAGTTCCCCAAGCCACAATTATATAGGGGTAGCTTCCATTTGCCGAAATGAACCTTGGGTTTTTCCCCCAACCTGGTTTGAAAGGGAACCTATCACTATCACTGTAAATATTTATTTTTTCCAAGCGCCGCATTCGCAACTGGAGTGCGGCTGGTTTCTCAAGATGACTCTTCTTGTTATTGGGTGTGCCGAAAGGGCACCGGCCACATTGGAACAGCGGGACTCCTAAATTCAGGGCCGAACGATCAATACCGCCTAAGAGAAGCCAAGAGGAACACCGAAGCCATTTTTGTGGGGGTACCGAGACAGAAAAGAACCAAATTCATCAGGAAACAAGGAATTTTGATGGTTCTTAGGGCAAGCAATGTCGAAGATAATGTTCACCGCATATTACCCATCTTCGTCCACTTTAGTTTGTGAGTAGGGGTAGGGAATCAGACCACTCTTGGATCAGGCTTCCCCCCCCCCTCATGGAAATAAACTGGGCTTGAGAAAAATATGGTGTCAACATTAGCTTTCTCTTCTTCCCCTTCCTCAGGCACTGGCAAGGCGGACTACTTGAAGTGCATCGCCCGCACGGCAGCTGCTTTGGCCTCCCCGGCGCGGTTTCTTTTGGCGAGACACTGAGCCGTCCGTTTGGGGCGCGCTCGCTTTGGATCGAGTTCCGGAAACGGACTAATTTGGTCACTTTTGGGGTTTGGCAAGGCCATTTTAGTGGCGAACAGTTTGGACCGGCTTTGTTGGGCCATCCCCTCAGGAAGTGAGATTGGGGTGCGCCCTTCCCCCGCCCCCAAAGCAAGTGTTTTGTTTTTTGTTTTTGTTGCTTTAGTTTTCCTTCAAACCAACTCCGCCTCAAAAGGGCACCAAGATGAGCAGGATCGACCTGAACTGGGACTTCTATTGCCCAGTGGTATGGCAAGCTCCAAACCCCCTTCAGACAACACCCTGCCGGTTGCACTCCTCTTAGCCATTACCCACGCCATCCCGGTTGAAGATTGTTGTTTCCCCCCCCCCCCCAACAAGCGCAACAAGAGACACATCAGATGGCCAAGAGTTAGGAACCCCCTCGAAAGCGGTCGGCACAAATGCCAAATGATTTCCTTTATTGTTCTTGGTGTGGATGTGTGTGCTTCTGTTTGTGTTCGTGTCTGTGTTTTGTTGGCTGGTTGGTTGTTTGGTCTCTCTTAGTTACGTGTTGCTTCGGTCAAGGGGGGGGTTGGCGGGAAGGCAGCAAACAAAAAGAATTGTTTCGGCACCGGGGGTTGGAGCGCGGCTTTGTGCTGCAATTTGCTTTGTTCAATTCAACCTATTTTCACAACCACCTTCCATTTTGCTTAGATGTTTTCTGTTAAAGTGTCCTTGTTGATCTTGAGGAGAATGTGCCCCTGGAAATTGTTCACTTCTTTCATGGGACTTAAGCACATGGAGGCTACCCAGTTGTTAAAGAGGGCAGGTGTTTCCTCTTGTTTGGTGGGTTCCCTGCTATGACCGTTCTTTTTTTGCCACGGGCATTGGGCAACTGGGACTATCGGGATGTTGGAATTTAGGGTTCAGGGAAAATGCTAGGACACCTAAAGTGTGAGGAAACAGGCGTGTCTCAAATGAGGGAACCTTCGAAGGTGGTTTCCCTTTCGATTCCAATTGACACCCCAAAACAGGTACCCTGAAGAACGACACACCCAAACCCCTCTATAAAGACTCTAAAAAGAGTTGATCCTTTTGCAAGCTGTTGGAATACTGCTGCAATACACGGGCGCCGTGATCCTCCTTTCAGTAAAGATTTCTATTGACGCCCTGGATATGTTGCCAAGGGAACCATGGACCGTGTTTTGCCAACTTGAATCAATCTACCATGCTTTTGTGGCTTGGCATGGGAACTGCAACCTTGCGCGCAGTGGCCCTGTGGCATAGAAGTGGCCTTGACAGGAAGTTGCGAGAGAGAGAAGGGCGAGAAGCTTCAAGACATGCCCGGCCCGCTGCAGCTTCTACAGCCCAAACCACCGACTGTATGCGTGGCACTTGCACCCCTAAGGCCAAAATTCGTTGCAGCACACACCTTGCAGTGAATGAGCTGCCCGGTTACAAGGGCCTGTGCGCTTTTTTGGTTGATTTTGGGGGTGGGTGCAAAGGGAAACCAACAGGAAACCAATGATTTGCGTGACCCCCACCCCCACTTCACATGCGACTTAAAAATTTGCCTTTTGTCCTGGACAAATTTTCAACCAAAGGCCTCCCATTTCGTCCTCATGTTTCTTTTGGTGCGGAATAGCAAAGTGTCCAAGTTCCCAAAAGGATCCCAAAAGGGTCATTTTTTAGTTCGAGTCATTGTGGGCCGGGATGGGTCATTTTTGAGTTCGGCAAGCTCAGGCCCCATCACAAATCAAGGGTTTCTCGCATGCAGTGTAAGGAGCCCCCTCTCACTGAATTTAGCTGTGAAAGTACGACCGTATTCTGATTGGTCAGGCAAGATTGTCTTAGGTCCTTCTTCACATGGCTGATTTTGGATACAAAGCGCCCTCAGATCATTTAGGCTAGGTCCACCCGTAGTGCCCTTTTACCCTTTTTTGGTTGGAAGGGTTCCCCTACTAAAACAGACAAAACCGAAAAAAGCTCGGGTTCCCCTATTCTAACCTCTCTGGAGGACCTAGGATCATTTCGGCCCGAATTTACGCCCGCCATGTGGGCTGATTGCCCGAGCCGGGCTTTCGGCCGCAAGCTTAGAGCCGGCGAGCACCCAGTTCCCAGAGCTTGCTCAGTGAGAAATCTTTGGTGCGTTTTGCTTTTGTGAATGTTTTGGTCTTAATCTTTGGTATGTTTTGGTCTCTTAAAGGGAATGGGTTGGTCTCTTTTTGCTTTTGGCGCTTAATAATCATTGGGTTTTCCTTTAACGTGGGGTAACCCGCCCCCAACCCAAAAAACACCTACAACACTTTGGTGCATTTTGCCAAGGGGTGTTAGGACTGAACAACTTTTTGCCAACCAATGGGTTTTCCGTATTAAACCACGAAAAGTTGTCAACTTTTAGCAGGGCTTAACCGAGAAATGGAAGGACCCCTATAAACCATCCAACTGGTGGTTTCCTTTGAGGGAGATCCCCAGATTCATTCCATTTCTCATTTCCTACTTATCACACCAGCAAGAAAAGTGAACCACCTCTTTTTAGTGGAGCCAGCCTGCCACCTGATTTTGGCATTTAGGTCACATCTGCTGGGTTTTACCAAGGCTGTGACGCAGAGTGGCCCGAAGACATCACTCGGCGTTACCCAAGCCAATCTTAACGCACAGCTTTTGGGCCGGAATCGGAACGTCTTCTCAGCTGTTTGGAAATGGTTGCTTCAGAAACATGCGACAAATTGACCGCGCTTTGGCAAGAGAAGGTCGACCAACCCAAGACCCTCTTTAGCCAATTCAGTTGGAGGACGATTTCCTTCACTGACAGTAAGAATGTGTTTGTGTGTGTGCGCTGCAGGGCACCCATAGTGTTGAACATGGATCTGAACAATGCTAGCGACCTGCGAAGGTTCATGAAGGTTCGACGGCACCGATCCAGCATGTGAGGTTTGTTGAATTGTGCGGTTTTCTTTTTTTTCTCTTTTTTTTGTTCTTTCTTTTTTTCGGAGTCGCTTGTTTCACAGGAGTAAACCTCCAAATGCTTGGTGGTCCTCAAATCCCAATCCAAACCACCAACCCAAACTCCCGAGTGAGCTTCCCCTGACAACTAATTACTTACTGCTTTTTGGGGCAGGGCAATGATTCTAGTGGCGCTGCGGCCAAGAAGTAGTCACTGTGGCCAATTCATTTCAGGAAGTAAGAAGCAACACAGGTCAGGCCCACTTGGCTTGCCTGAGGCTTTTCTGGCCGTTCGCCATGGGAGTCGCGAGCTTGGGAGGCAGCCTTGGGTTTCCCTGTGCAGCAGGCCCCCTCCAAACAAGATCCGCTGTTTTTGTTGGTTCACGGGAACCACCTTCGATGTTTCCCAACTTGAGCCCTCTAGCCCTCTCAATGACTCAAGCTCTGCGGATTGTGAAGCCACCGGTCAATTGCTGAGATCCTTTGGGCAAACCTCGCCAGACAGAAAGTTGGGTCACGTGCCGCACGAGGAACCAGTAGCTCAGTAGCTTCCTGGCCCGGAAGGTAAATTTCCCCCATTGGCAGCAGAGCATCAAAATGTCAGAAGGGGGTCCTGGCGCAAATGCTTGTGCTTGTGTTTTTTTGTTGTTCCCGAACGTTGGAACGCTTTGTCACTTGGCCTTGGTTTGGTTCAACTACAAAAAGTCCGCGCAGCTTGAGCCACTGAGACGAGTCCATACAAACAAAGCAACGGATCTTGTTTGGAAGGGTGCCTACCCCAGTGAACCTCGAGCCGCCACTTGCCTTGGGCTGAACCCGACGCCAGGCGCAAGACTCCTTGCGGGGGACTCCGCAGGACAGCACTGCCCGCAGGCGCGAGAGAGGGCCTTGAGCAATTTCTGCTGGGGCTTTGCCTCAGACAAAGACCTTGGCCCAGCCTCTGCCCAACGACAAGTATCAGAAAAGACACCTCTCCTGCTTGCAGTTGCAAGCCTGCTGCGCATCAATACTGGCAGACCGAGCAGTCTTGAACACGCAGTAAGGGTGCAACTGCAAAAAACACAAATGCCCCTACAAAGGTGGCTATGCGAGGGTGTTTGAAACATGGGCGACACATGGCGTTTACAGGTTGAAGTACTTTGTCATTTGATTGTCGTTCTGCACCAGTTGTAGCAAGCTCACCGAGGGGATGAAGGTTGCCCGGGGGTTCCTAAATTCTGCTTGGTGAGGCAATTAGTGCAGAACGTTACAACCTACTGTCTAAGTGGGGGATGAGCATCCATTTTTCCTTAAAAGTGCGCGACTTGTTCAGGATGGGTGTGAAGAGAAACCGACACATACCTTTCAACCGAGGCTTACCCAATCTGAACCGCGTTGATGTGGTCTAGTCCTGAAATAGGGGGCCATTTGAAGGTTGGGATTTGTAGCCCCTCAACCCCACCACCCCACCCCAAACCCCACCCACCCCCTCCCCCTCCGGCAAAAAGAAAAGCACGACCCCGCCCCCACCTACACACATCGCCTCTAACCCTCTCCTCTTTCAGGCGCGAGTTTGCAGCACTGAGCCTTGCAGTGCCCATCGCGGTCGGTCGCCGCTCTTTGACCCGGCGCCGCCCCTTGGCCGCCATCCGCCAAGAAAGAGGGCGCCAAATCTCCGGCCCCTTGTCATGGTTGTTGTCTGGAAACATTTTTCGCATTTTTGCTTCTTGTGTTTAGTGGGAAATCCCCACTGAACTGCTCAAATTTGAATTTTTGCCCACCCTCCAACGTCAACCAAGTTGTGTTTGTTTGTTTTTTTGTTTGTTTTGGGTTTCCAAGGGTGTCCAGTTCCCCTCTAAGAATCCTGGTGGTGAGTGACCCTTCATATTATGAGGTTTCTACGTTTCTTGCAGCCTCCATGGACCATCCAGTTTCCTCACTGATCTCGCATCTGTTTCGAAGAACACAGGCTTTTCTTTGGCCATACAGTCGTTTGGGACCTTGGTAAAGATGAAACAAGAGAGCTACCCTCTTTCCAACAT